CCAAAAAAACATTCATATCTTGTCTGACATCTTTGCTACAAACTCGGGTCTTCAACTCGGGTTTTCAACTGAAGGCCATTGAAAAAATCTTCATCACTTCCATAAACGACAAGCTCCTCATTAATCATTCACGAATTGACATCAATTTCCCCCCTCCTATCCCCCCGCCTATCACCAAAAAAATATAAAAAATATACGCAACATCTCTGCACTCATCTCGTCCATACGTTGGTGTTGTAAAAACGCATATGCGTAGGTTCGCCGTGTATTAAAGGTGGGATCAATCGATCGCCCGTGTTTTGTAAATGGGGTCTCTCGCCCACACGTATACGAGATTAAAAAAAAATTTGTTTCATTGTACAGACCGTGGTACAGGAAAATAGGAGAGACAGCAAAAACAGAAACGAATGTAAAAGTCCATTCAACATGTTGAAATGCGCATCATTTACAATCACGTACAGCATTAGACGGTGGTAACGAGTTGGAAATTGCTGGAAGCTAATTCCGGTCGTCATTGTTTTCAGCGTATGGCAATTTGAAATATGGTAATGGTTTTTTTCCGCATACGGTGAGGGAACAATTAGAGTTATTTCAACGGTTTCAGCCACTCTGTTCATGATCACAGAACAATTGTTGGGTTTTTTTCGAGGGAGTGGGGCTAGAGGATAATTAGAAAAATACCTGGAATCCATAAATGAAGGGACGGGGAGGGGAGAGAGGGGTAAAACGGACCATGCTCAGTCGTCAATATTTCCTGGGAAAAAATTGAATTAGACAATTGATTTCCTGGTCCCTCAGAACTACTCAATTGCGATGTAAAATTTATTTATAAATATATATATTATAAAATGCTGAATGCTGAGTCTTTATATAACTAAAGAAATAAGCAGATAAATAGAAAAGAAAAGGTAAAGTGTGATTTTTTCTCTGTAAGACGACCAAAATTTTTTATCCTGCAAAAAAAATAAAATAGTGAAAGTTATTTCATATCTTACTTTTGGCTGATATGTAACATGAATCGAAATTCGCGAAAATGCGAAAAATCGTCCGGTTGATTTGTACCCAGCTGTTATGGTTTTTTATTTATAAGTAAAAAAAACGTGGAAAAAAATGGCTTCCAACGAGCATGAAAAAACAAGCGAGAAAAATCAGTTTCATTTGGCTGGCGTGTTGGGTACGCCAGTTGGGTGAATAAACACCTGATTTATTGGATAAGTCTACTGTAGTTTCAGGGCTACCAGTATAATCCCCAAGCGTATTTCGCCTACAGATATACACGCTTGAATGTATTCTAAAAGTAGCTGAATTCGAGCTGGGGGGATCGTTACGTCGTGAGAGGCCGCGTGGGAATGGTCTGAGGGTCAGTATTGGCTCTTATATCCAAGTTCTACATTTGCCACACAAATCACCCACGAGACTTGATTCAATTTCATTCAATTTCACTCGTACGTAACCCATTACCTGGCCGCATTGAATTCTCATTGAATCGGCTCGAGGTGTTATCCACTGGCATTCCAAAAATGGTTGTCAGGTTGACCGAAAATTTTTTTTTCAAACGGTACTCCACCTTTTTTGGGAAATATGATTTAAATTCATGACACGTGTTGGAACCGCCTATCATCCGGTTTATCGCCGGAAACGTGGTACACACAGGAAATCGATTTTCACGTCATGCGGAAGCTTGATTGAAGAATTTTTAAATAACTCCTAGTGTACATAAACCCCGCCACTGAAAAATTTGGATTGAATTCGGTTGATTATATAATGAACATTCAGATCGACACAAAGATGAATTCTCTCACGTCCCCTGAACAGAACTATCCACCCTCCGATGACTGAATACATTCCAAAAATAAACATCAACCCCAGAAAAAAATTCAATTTCGTTTTTCTCTCTGTTCCAGCTGAAAAAAAAAATGTGATCGAAAGCTCTCGAGCAGGCAAAGATGACCGATGAGGGAGTACCCCACGTACGCCTGGGGCGCTCGAGGCTCCTTCAAAAAGAAGAACTGATGTACGGTGAAGCGGTTTACCATCAAAAACCAATCGTCGAACGTCACAGGGTGACCCCAAGGCGTATCGATTCACCTCAACACCGTCATCCTGAGAGTCTCTCACACCCGAACAATGCCCATCCCCGACGTCAACCAAAACCCCGCGTCAAGTACCAAAGACAGACACCGAACCAATACTCAAGCAGTGACGAGAGTGCTCCAAGACCCCCAAACAAATGCAAGAGCACAAGTTCAATAGACACCCAATCTGTAAACAACATTCTGGATGAATTTGAGGATTTGGATGGCAGTGGTTCCTCGGGGTCTAGCATAAGCGTGACAAACTTCGAGTCTATGATGAATCAGCGCCGAATGCAACGAACCGAGAGACAAGTGACCAAGGTTAATCAACAGACTCAGGTGCGCCAGAGATCAAGAGACAGAACGTCACCAAAAGTCCCTGAGAAAGCATCCCCAGTCCCCCCGAAACAGGTTCCCGAGATTTTGCTTCGAAAGGGTGAAGTCCAAAAACGAGTTGACGAGTGGTTGATCCAGAGCCAGAGCCAGAGCCAGCAGCCACCACCAGCTCCCCGTGTCTCCCTGACAAGATCGACAAGCAGTGCCGAGCAAAAGAGAAGATTAATCCCACCGGAGACACGTTTAAACGGTACAACAAGCTGTGATGATCTCAATTCCGAGCATCCACAGAATCACAAGGTCGAGTGTGTGAGCATCGGTGTGAATACAGGGCCCATAAATTACCGGGACTACGTAAGAAACAGAATGAAAATTGACAACGACACTGTCACTGGCAACTCAATGACCTCGAGAATACCACAGCGACAGACAGTTGATAAAAATTCACGTATTAAGCTGAAGCAGATAAACGGTGCATGCAGGCCGACCTCGAGGCACTCATTTAAACGTACACGTTCTGGTGATCGTTCGATTCCAAATAAGGCATGTGAAAGTAGACCTCCAAGACATAATAAGGTGGATGAAATTGTACAGAGAGTTGAGAAAACTGAAATACAACGCGATACTGATGACAATAATTCAAGAAGACCACCAGCTCCACCGAGAAGAAGTCACAGATCAGATTTAAACTGTTGTTCTAGCTTCAAGCCTAACAAGACAGTTGTGAATGGTGCTGTCAGTGGTCCTCATTACGCCCGAGATGTTGAGAAGATTTACGAGAAGTCACTGAGACCTGAGGTTATACATGCTGACGATCTCAGAGCAGTATTAGAGCCAAGTGTTAAGTCGTCTGCTTATGGTGAAAGTTTTCGGGCTGAGGAGGACGTGACAAATGGTGTGACAAAAATCTACCCGGAAATTGGATTGGATCAGTGCCTGAGGATTCAGCGTAGATTACCAAAGAACTCGACATTCGACAGGAGAGATTGCCCTCCTGATGAAACATTCCAGGAGAGGAGTTTGATGAGACCAGAGGAGAATGAGCCGACTTATGAAACCCTTGAGAATGCACTGAAGGATTCTTACGAAGCAATGAGCACACTGAAGCTAGACAGACATTTGGATGATATTGAACACGAGAAATTCGATGTCAAAGGAATGGATTCTTCGCATCAGAAAACAGTTGATGAGGAGAATAGAACGGCGGAAGCTGATTCCGAGATACGCAATGCTGGCGAGAGTGAGACAACGGTGTCCGTTAATGAAGTGCTCGTGAAGAACTTGTGTTTTCATCAAGATCTACCCCAAGATTGTAGAAATGAAACATTCAAATCCGTGGGTGTTACCAGTTACCAGAAACCATTTAATTTTAACAGTGTTCTTAGTGATGATTACGAAACTCGTGTTAGGGAAGCATCTATGATGCAGGAGTGTAAAATTTATGTTACCAAAGAGGAGATGGAGCGTCAGAGGCTCATGGATTTGCTGAGAAAACGGGATTATGAGGCTGTTAAACTGGTGAGTCTTCCTCAATCTTCTTGTATATATATTTTTCAACTCAGTGTTGAGTGGATGAGGGGGGATTACCTTTGGAGATTGATTCGTCTTGTGAATTACGAGTGGATCATTCGGAAGATGTGGAAATTTTCTGGGTTCAGTGGGATTGGGAAACCTGCGAGTTTTCACGTGCGAAAAGATTTCGTAGAAAACACTAGGGAATTCGATAGGAAGTATTACATCATAATAATTCGGTAGAAATGTTCAATAGAAAATACTTTATAATTTTTTTTGAGTCGTTTTGCGCAATTTTTTCACGAAAAAAGAAGAAAATAGAGCGAAAAAATAAATGAAAAATTCAGGTCGAAGAATTTCTACAGAAAATGTATCGATAGAAAAATGAAATTGAGCTAATTTTTTCTACAAAATTTTTACCTGAAAAATATTAATTCAATAGCTTTGGAATCACTGAACCAGAACAAATGCACGTGTACAACTTCTTGAGTTAATTCCACCTCTCCAAACTTGATAATTAACACGAATATCATAAAATACTGTTATCTCCTCACTCCACTGCGGATATCACCCCTAAAACTTGTGAATTACGAAAATTCGTCATGTGGGAGTTGTAAAAGATGGATGAAGTGCGGAAGAGAAAAAGAAAATAAGAGCGTAAAAAAAAGAATGAAGGAGTAGAAGTGAGAGACAGTGGTGTGGGTGCGATTTATGATTCAGCCAGGCTTGTCCGAGACGTTGGGGAGGGCATTAGGTATGCTGTACGTAGTGCGCTTTAGCGCGCAAGAAAAGCTACAATAAATCGTTGTACGGGATTTCAAGCACCTAGCCCTCTGCCTGGATTAAAATACTGACCCTTCTGATCTATTCCAATTGAGGGCCCCGTGCTTCCTCATTATTATTTCGGTTGAATTACCAGAATGACTCGGGGGACGTCAATTATCGCATCAGTTATTTACCTCGTCTGGAGAATTTATGGAAATTCTCGTATTATTTTTCCTTTTTGTGCAAAGAAATCAAGTGGATGAGGGATAAAAATGGAAACATCGGGGTTTTTACTTTACTCTCGGTTCTTCAATAAATTCAATAACTTTTCCCCCAGTCACACATTGAATTCCGATAAATCAGAAGCCTTGAATAACTCCACCAACTATCAAAATATTCTCCCTGAATTGGCTGAAGTATTGAGCCTTCTGATCTATTCCAATTGAGGCCCCGTGCTTCCTCATTATTATTTCGGTTGAATTACCAGAATGACTCGGGGGACGTCAATTATCGCATCAGTTATTTACCTCATCTAGAGAATTTATGGAAATTCTCGTATTATTTTTCCTTTTTGTGTAAAGAAATCAAGTGGATGAGGGATAAAAATGGAAACATCGGGGTTTTTACTTTACTCTCGGTTCTTCAATAAATTCAATAACTTTTCCCCCAGTCACACATTGAATTCCGATAAATCAGAAGCCTTGAATAACTCCACCAACTATCAAAATATTCTCCCTGAATTGGCTGAAGTATTGAGCCTTCTGATCTATTCCAATTGAGGCCCCGGTCTTCCTCATTATTATTTCGGTTGAATTACCAGAATGACTCGGGGGACGTCAATTATCGCATCAGTTATTTACCTCGTCTGGAGAATTTATGGAAATTCTCGTATTATTTTTCCTTTTTGTGTAAAGAAATCAAGTGGATGAGGGATAAAAATGGAAACATCGGGGTTTTTACTTTACTCTCGGTTCTTCAATAAATTCAATAACTTTTCCCCCAGTCACACATTGAATTCCGATAAATCAGAAGCCTTGAATAACTCCACCAACTATCAAAATATTCTCCCTGAATTGGCTGAAGTATTGAGCCTTCTGATCTATTCCAATTGAGGCCCCGGTCTTCCTCATTATTATTTCGGTTGAATTACCAGAATGACTCGGGGGACGTCAATTATCGCATCAGTTATTTACCCCGTTTGGAGAATTTATGGAAATCCTCGTACTATTTTTCCCTTCTTCACTATGAAAAAAAATTATTTTTGCTAAATATTCATTTATTTGAGAAATGCATTCATTTTTTCAAAATCGTATTTCTTCAATCGAGTCATTCTCAGGCGAGCCTGATTAGGTTTCCATTATGACAATCGTGTTCTTCTAGAGGATGACTATATTGCACTTGACCTTGAATTAACTCCAATGATTATTTATTTTTCCTAAATCTCTTATTTTCCAGAGGAAAGGATTTCGATTAATTTTTTAATCTTGATAATCATTGAGGGAGTTTACTCAAGATCATAACTAACATGATCATTTTCTAGAGCAATATAATTATCCTAATCGAAACCTAATGAGGACTGCATGGGCATGCAGAAATCGACTGGAGAAATACGTATTGAAAAAATGACTTCTTCTCTCAAGTAAATGAATATTTGGTAAAAATAAATTTTTTCTCAGTGTGCTGTGTGAAGAAATCGAGTGGATGAGGTATAAAAATGGAAAGCGACATTGAACTTTCGACTTTTCCTTCGGTTCCTCAATAAATTCAATAACTTTTCTCGCACTCTCCCATGGAATTCCCATAAATCAGACGCCCTGAATAGCTCCACCATACTTTCCGCATAGCTATATCAGAATATTCACCCCGAAGTGGCTGAAATCTCCTTAGAAAATAAACATCCGAGGAATAGGTAGCGTTGAAATATCATCGCCATGTGAAAAGCCTCTGGCGTCCTCAACGTTCCTTGACCCAATACATTTGGCACACACGTGTCAGCCTCATGTTTGCATTTGACCATGCAAACTACCACCGCTGGACTGGCATTCCCGACAACTTATGGCCCAATGGTGCAAGGTATGCATCCTGTTGCTTTAACACCCAGCCGTTTCTACCCGATGGTTATTTGTATGTGTCTGAATGCTGTAGCGCGTCGTCAGATCAGCAGCTCTTGGGGTTAACGTTAATGATGATGAACGTGCATACGGTGAAATTAATCCGCCGACGTATGGTTGACGTAGTCCCCAAAGCCAGGATATTGCGTTAGGCTCTATTCAATTTCCTTGAAATTGAATCGCTGGTGCACGCTCGTGCGATTCACGGAAGTACATCATCAAGATTTTTTAGTCTTCTTCGTTTTGAGGTTTTTTTTATTGGCAAAAATTATTAGTGAATATTGGGATTCAGTCAATGATGATGTTGATAATGATGGTGGAAGGCCAAGGTGTTGGAGAAATAATTACAACGTTGATGAAACTAATTCTGTAGTGAAGCGGTAAAATAATTTAAGTTGATTAGGGTCTCAGCTGAGTTTTTGAGAAATATCTCCGAATCTGAGGGAGATAACGGAATTTTGTTGACAACCTTTTTTATAGAGCGACTTGCGGGTTTCAAAAAAGGTTATGACAAAGATTTTGCTATCTCCCTTCGATTCCGAGATATTCATGGAAAACCAGCCAACAGTCAAAAAGGACCTCGTTTTACTGCTTCGCTGAGTTTTTGAGGAATATCTTCGAATCTGAGGGAGATAACGAAATTTTTGTAATAACCTTTTTTATAGAGCGAGTTGCGGGCTATAAAAAAGGTTATGACAAAGATTTTGCTATCTCCCTTCGATTCCGAGATATTCATGGAAAATCAGCCAACAGTCAAAAAGGACCTCGTTTTACTGCTTCACTGAGTGTTTGACGAATATCTCCGAATCTGAGGGAGATAACGAAATTTTTGTAATAACCTTTTTTATAGAGCGAGTTGTGGGCTATAAAAAAGGTCATGACAAAGATTTTGCTATCTCCCTTCGATTCCGAGATATGCATTGAAAACCGGCCAACAGTCAAAGTCGATTTGAACTTTTTTACCGCTTAGTTCCTGAATTATGTCGTTGTTTTAGAGGCGATAACTTTCCTCCTGTGAGCAAATTTTCTACATTAAGGAGAACCCCCCAACACATCAATAATCGAATTCTAATTACTAAATCCAGGACATCGCGTTTGAAAACCCTTTTTACATTTATAAAACTTGTCATTCCCTCCTATTTCGAAGTCTCCAACAAAAGATATCGTTTCAATACTTCTAACCATTGAAATAGAATTGAAAACGTCGTCATGAAATTTGACTTTCACGTTTCCTTACCCACGTGAGCCACTGAAAAGAGACAAGAATCGGATATTTACTCGGATGCACTGGTAGAAGACTCAAGGCGCAACTCAGGGTAGGATCTTTGAGAGGATATTACGTGGCGTTGAACATGCTAGAGTGGGTGGAAAGGAAAGTTAAGGGTGAGGGGTTGGAAAGAGTGGAGTAGGTGAGATGCAAGCCATAGGTGATGACATTGGCGACGAGACGACCTGGAATATTACATTCTCGTCATGCGGCCATTTCCAGGAGAAGTAAGGAAGCAACTCAGTGTATGTGATGCTACTAACACATTGAAACATGCCTGGGAGATTCGTGTTCGTTAATCGGGTCTATAAACGATGGGGTTAATGCTCCTCTTGGGGGGGATCTATTGGACTCAGCCAACTATTGGCGTCAACTATGTAGTTTATATTGAAATTCAAATCCTTGACGGAATTCAGTTAACTGGCGAGATAAATTATGAATTCAATGGGCTGTAAAGTGAAGGACTCCCTTGGCTTACTTGGGTATGTTCAGTTTATTCGCGGTGATGAGATTTTTATCATTGTAAAAATATTAGTGAACATTGGGGTTTAATCGATGATGAATTTTCCATGGAAAATACCGAAAATTTTTAGCACGTTTAACCCTAGTTTGGTCACCCTACACGGAGAGAAATTTTTGGTAAAAATTACGGACCTCACAATTCACTCACCGATTACGGAATCGACTCAGGAAATTTAAGTGACTGTATCGTCATTTTTCACAGAAGATTCAGGTAAAAATTACGGAACGCTTTGGAAAAATTCCGTGATTTTAGGTAAAAATTAAATGGCAGTTCCGTAAAATTTCCTACAACCACATTTTGCTCCGGAATTGCGGAAAAGATACGCAATTTTTATTGAATA